CAGACCACTCAGTGGCGGCTAAGTCTGGAGGTTGTTTCCCTGGTGAGGCCTTGGTCATATTGGAAAGTGGAAGTCAGAAGCCCGTCAGCGATCTGCGACCCGGTGAGCGAGTCCTCGTCTCGTCAGGCAGTGACGGTAGCGGTGAGCTTGTGTTCAGTGAGGTCCTGACTTTCCTCGATCGGGACCCCAAGACCCGGAAACTCTTTTACACCCTGCAGACTGAAGCTGGAGCTCAGCTCTCACTCACTGCCGCCCACCTGATATTTGTATCCAAAGAGAACTGCTCAGAAGGGACGGTGCCAGCCCGCAATGCCCTCAGGACTGTGTACGCCAGCAATGCCCAGCCGGGACAGTGTGTGCTGGTGTCAGAGGGTAAAGCGGGACAGAAGCACAGGGAGGGGCGTCTGTCTCGGATCAGCCGGGTGACAGTAAAGGAGATGAAAGGGGTGTTTGCGCCGCTGACCCAGCAGGGGACGGTGGTGGTGGACGGGGTGGTGGTGTCCTGCTACGCAGTGGTGGACCAGCACTCCCTTGCTCACTGGGCCTTTGCCCCACTCAGGCTGATCCACAGCTGGACTCGGACCACTGGGGGCCACAGTGATGGGATCCACTGGTACTCGCAGCTTTTACACTGGCTGGGGAGGAAGTTGTTGGACTCAGGACGCCTCCACCCGCTGGGAGTGGCTCAGGACAACAGGTGAGGAAGCTGAACTGCAAAGTAAGAGCCAAATAAGACCCTAATGAACTTCCTGCGGCGATGGGAGACATTTGGCTTCCTGCTGAGGCCTGATGGGAAGAATAAAAAAACTCGAAGTGACACAGATGAGACCAAATGAACATTCAGATTTAAAAAACTGCACAAACAAATGTTTTTTTTTGTTTGACATTTATATTTGTAAAACACTATGAAGCAATAATCCCTTAAAACATCCTTATTTAACTCTAAAAACACGTAAATTAAAAAATCCATACTACTTATACGTTGAAAATGATTATAATTTTAGAGGTTTCTACTTTGAAAGCTGTTTATGGTAAACTGTTGATATTTTCTGGATTATGGGAATTTTAATGTGATTTTTAAACAACACAACAAATCCCATGAGGGGAAAAAGTGATGTATTTTAAGGGTTTCCTTAAAGATACTGTTAAAATACAGACATATATTAAAAAGACTTGTAACCATTAAACATAGTTTTAGAAATAGAAAAGTTATTTGGTTTTATTAACGTTTTAAAGGGGTTTGAGCCTCCTGTAATTTCAGATCATCTCTTAATTTATCCCATAATTTGTCCTTAATCTGGTGTAAACCTCGAAACTCCCTGATTACGGAAATTGTATCTGTTTTCACCTGACCCCAAACCAAACCTCTAACCCTGAAAAACTCCTTTTTTGTTAATTAATGGATGTTTCCAGTTTTCAAATGAGCTACTCGTACTACACTATGAAATCTGGGCAGATTAGTGTGAGATTTAAGGTGTAATTTTAAGGGATTTTGTTTCATAGTGGAGCCTGGGTTGGGGTGGAGGGCTGTGCTCTTTGTAAAAGGACAAAATGTATTTTTTTTCTCCAACACATGTACTTTCCTGCTTTAATACAGAGATTTTAGAATGAATAATAGAATGTATTTATGATATTATTTGTTTACAGAAAATCTAATAATGTTTATGAAGTTATTATTATGGGAAAAGAGATATTAAAAAGCTTTATTTTTGAAATTAAATTATATGGAAATGAGCCGAGTGGTGCTGCCTCATTTCTGTCCCTGTGACTATATTCTAAAGTGGGTTACAAGCTGCGGTCCAAGTGAGCAGGGTATTTTTGACATAGCGACACAGAAGTGAAACTGAAATGTTTCAGAAAAACAAAACAAAACAAAAAATAATATATTACTAGGCTCAGTGTTATTAGCCCCCTTGAAAAACTGACCTGACCTGGGGATTTTCTTCTGATTTACACAGTGTATAAAAACAAAGTTGTCACAGTGTTAAGGAGTTGCTAATGTTTGAAGAAAGTGTAGTGAAGCACCAGCAGTGGTGGGAGTATTATGCTGTGGAGATGCTTCAGCATGTCTGGAACTGAGAATCTTGTCAAGGTGGCAGGAATCATGAAGAAGTGGGGGCGACCGTGGCTCAGGGGGTTGGGAAGCGTATCTGTAACTGGAAAGTCGCCGGTTCGATCCCCGGGCTCTCTGTCCTGGTCGTTGTGTCCTTGGGCAAGACACTTTACCCTACCGCCTACTGGTGTTGGCCAGAGGG